TAAGGAATTATTGGAACTAATTGATTAGTTAATATTCAGACTATTAAAATGAGAACTACTGTAATTTAACACATTCCTTAAATCTTTGTGAATAATAATAATACAGTGGAGACAGATTAGGGGATCTGTACCTTGTCCACTGTGCGGCTCTCCTGAGGTTTTTGGGGACCTGTTATAGCCAAAGGAAGTGAAAAGTGGCAGATGGGAATGTGGTGGCGGAGGTGGAGGAGGCGGCAGGATATGAATCTCATGATACGAGTCCCCATTCACCATGGCAATGGCGGGCGACACAGGGCCGCACACCGGCGCACAGAGCTGTATCTTTTGATACTGTTGGGTACAAGTGACTGTACTCCATGAACCTAGATACGACAACACAGCAACCACCACCACCACAACAAACAAAACAATGACACATAAGAGAGGGAAAGTAAATTAACCCAACACAAAAATCACAACCAATCACAAAATTCAAAACAGCAAAACCATAAAAGACAAATCAAAAGGAAGAAAACGCTTTTATATTTCGAGCTGTTCAGTGTGAATGGAGTAAAATGGATGTAACTATATCTTCAACATGTCGATTGATATTTTATGTGTGTACAATCAAAATATACATATATACATATACATATATATATATATATATACAGTGGGTACGTGCACTTTATGGACTGTATAAATCTGCACGGGTGCACAGAAAAGTCTTCTGATGCCCAATGATTCTTCCTATGAGCGATACACTAAAAACATTTTTAAGGTCAGGTTTAACGGGTTCTCTTCTCTTCTCTTCTCTTCTCTTCTCTTCTCTTCTGATAATTAACACCATCAGCCTCAAAAATAGGTTCTCTAGCATGGATGGAGAGGTACTTATTTGCCAATGTGAACAAAGATGAAGATCTAGATGCCGCAAGTGTTACATAGTATTACATACAAGTGTCTATTAAATTCCAGTCCAGCAGAGGGCGCAATCCAATGAGTTCTGCTGTTCCGTCAATATCTGGATGAAGACGTAGCCACTATTTAAGGCACTATTATCACCAGAGATTCCCTTTTGACAGCATAAAATGCTATATAAACTGAGCATTATGAGATGAGAAAAGAGCTGAAGATGCTCCACATTTGCCCTGGTTTTGATGCCACAAAAGCAGATGGCCCTGCCTGGCTCTCAGTCCAGTGCACATGAGCAGCATGAACAGCTGGCTGTAAACAGAATCAGGGTCATGTGAGTTTATCAGCATTACTTATGCATCTGTGAGTGTGTGAGGTCTCAGTAAGAGGCAGCACTGACCCGCCTGTTGTCCTTTCTTACCCTCAGCCCCAGGCCTCTTACTGATCATTTCCACCAAGCTGGAGGGGAAGTAGCCCACTCTGTCATTTCCTGTGCGGTTATCATGGATGCAGCCCTTCCACCTTCCGTCTGAATGTTGCTCCAGAACCTACATGAGTAATGAATCATCATCATCTGCCATCTACTGTATAATAATAGCAATATACATCATCTGGACATCTGGATCTTCGTAGTTATTTTCATTCAAAGTCTCATGTTTATTAACCAGTGACAGAAATTTTTGAAAATCTAGAACATTTCAAATACTAAAATTAAAATACTATAGACTAGAGGATGAAGAGATCATGTAGTAAGGAGCCGATGCACTTATTTAAATAATTTTTGGAAATCTGGGGGAAAACATAGGCAACAGCACCCTCTGTTGACAAATTCCGAAAGTACACTGAACTATCTTCTATTACTACAAAGGATTAATTTGGAATTTCTAATGCAGTCAAAATTGACTTGAGACATTCCATGTGAATGTTTAAAAATGTCTACATATTTAACACAGTTTGAATTTTAATAATGCATGAGAGTAAAACAAACTGACTTCAAATTAACATCAAATATTCAACATTTGTTTTAGAGCAGGTCTTGCTGAATGAATATTACCGTGATGACATCTCCAGCCTTTATGTTAAGGCTAGTCAGGTCGTAATTGTTACAGTAGTCCTTCAGTGCCCTGACCTGCAAGGCTGCTGAGGCATCTGCATTGAGATATAAATGGCATAAGCTACTACACATCACATATAAACATACATATAAACAACATGCATAAATATGAGATATATATTTACCCCTTTTCTTACCTCGCAGCATCTGCTTGATCTCTCGGCTGGCCTGTGTAGCAGTGAACTGGTAGACGATGTCCAGCGCTGTCTGGCTGTATGTGTTTCTCACTGTTGCATTGATGCCACTCTGTAGGGTGAAAGTTAAAGCAATATTTGATCATGTTTGGGATCCCGTGTACTAACATGAGAAAGATATGTTTCTCTATGAAACATAAAAGCTTGATCTTTTTACTTCCCATTTAGAAAGAGGTTGTATGAGAAAACAGACCAGTCTGGTCTACTCTGTCTGGCCACTTCCAAGCAATTCACTATTCAAAATAATTCAAACCCAACAGCCAAAACCTGGTGGAAACCACCATATCATTGAAACTGCTAGTTTGAACCTAAATGGGTGGACTGTTTGCTAGAGAAGTTGGTTTATGACAATTATGTACGCTGAAGTATAACAGTCAGTTATGTTCTTAATACAATCAATGTTATCACAAACAGTATAGGTTGATCAGTCAGTCAGTTAATTAAATGTTGGTGCTTTTTCTTAATTTTAAATGATTGTTTTTATTTAGTCTCCATGTTGCTGCTGTATATGCCACTAAATTCCCTTCAAGGATCAATAAAAGTTTCTCTGTCTGCTTACATCCAGCAGGAGGCGCACCACATCAGTCTTCCCACACAGCGCAGCCTCATGGAGGGCAGTGCCCGCTTTGGTCTGCCTGTTGATGTCGATACCAGCCTGGATCAGCAATCTATTAAGATAGGACAAAATTAGTAACTAGTTTGACTCAACCACTGAAAGCCACTGTGATCAAACTGCTTAGACCAGAATTCATGCCTAGATTTTCATTTTCAATAAACTTGTTGCTGTTGTCCTCAAGTGATCATCTTCCTGATGAGGTTTATTTTGCGATAATAACCAGCTGGATGTGCTGTACATTATTCTGCTTATTACACAGCTACTTACAAAATAAATAAACAAACATTAATTATTGAAGTTATTGAATTATTTTATTACATGAGAGAAAAAAAAAAGAAACCAGAGTAGTAAAAGAGACAGTATATGAGACTGGGTGCCAAGTAGAATATGCAGTTTAGTGTCATCATACACCACAGGATGCCACATCTGACCAATTAGAATCAAGTATTCCAGACAGCCATGTAATTAGGTGTAGAGTAAGATGCGGTAAGATGATTTAGTATTTTACATTAATGACACTTAAATAATGTACTATATATATTAATAAAAATTACATCAAAATTAATGTATACATTCTTAAAAGTTTACCTGGGGTGGCTTCTTGCCCCAGGTTATGCTATGAGAACTAAATTAATGAATGTTTCTATTTATTTCCCATTATAACACATTGGCTGATGCATCATCCTCTTGCACATGCTAAACTCATTTCTAATTATGGTACAATGTAAAAATAAATGAGTGTCTTCCCCATCTTACCCTTCCATTGTATATTAAACTTAAGCACTGCAAAACTGCCCAAAAATCCCCAATCAGCCTCCTGATGACTGAACGGCCTCTATTAGATAGAGCATGACCTTCTGACACTAGAGTAAATTCAATTACGGCAGCAGGACATCAGCAAACACAGGTGGCCTGAGTCATGGCTACAGAGAGGAGGATGGGAAACAGGGTGAGAGAACTTGGCCCTGGTCCCCCTATAATTAGCTGCCAAAATGACCAGTTTTAGCTACACATAACGCCCTCTCGTGCTCGACCTCTCTTGGAAAATGCAGCAGATTAAATAACATATTGACTGGTCGGGTGTGCGCACATTGTGTGCTGCTGAGCCGTCACTTTGCATTGGCCACATTGGAAAAAATTGTGTTTCTGCTAGTGGGCAAATGGCCACATTCATCTGTGTTAATTAAAGGTATGAGAGTGTTAACACACGTACATGACACTGAGTTTAGAAGACAGCATTTTAATATGAAGGTAACAGCTTTGGTTAGAGGTGCCATGATCCATTTCTTTCACAGATATGAACAACAAATGAAGCCTGCTTTCATATTTTCCCTCATTGCATCAATCTATTTAGGGCCGGCCAATGCGTACTGCCTTTGGGGTTACTGGATTAATGATGTAATTAACAGCCTTGCGATAGCCCGCACTCTGTTGCTGTAACCTGCACATTCATGTGGCCTATAATTAGCTCCTGGCTGATCGGAGCTGGACTTGTGCTGGATTGGAGAGAAAGAGAGATGTGGGTGCTGTGTAGGCACATGTAACAGTCTTATTCTAATGTGTGACACAGCAACACTTACAATCCTTTTAAGTCGGCAGAGACTTAAAAGGCTGGGAAATAAATTACCCTTGCCCACGACTTTACTGATTAATGCCCAGTCCCTGAGGGGGAAAATGGAAGAACTAACAGCAAATCTATGCTATTTGCATGAATATAGGAACGCGTGTATGCTGGCAATTACAGAAACATGGTTAAATGAGAACGTTCCTTCAAGTGAGGTTGAACCAACTGGCTTCACCGTTTTTCGAATGGATCGAAACTCTGATATCACAGCAAAGTCACGCGGTGGTGGAGTGTGCCTGCTCATTAAGGAAAACTGGTGTAGATCAGTGGTGGTGAGAGAATCTCTCTGTACTCCTGACATTGAACTATTGAGTGTTTCACTAAGACCCTTTTACCTTCCTCGGGAGTTTCCACAGTTGTTTTTTACTGTGGTTTATATACATCCTCAGGCAAATTCAGCTAAAGTCTCGGATGTGTTATATCAACTTGGACAAAGACTGGATTCTATGTCTCCTGATGCGCCGAAATTTATTTTAGGAGATTTTAATAACTGTTCTTTAAAAAATTGTTTGAGGACTTATTATCAGTATGTGGACGTTTGCACTAGGAAAAATAAGATACTGGACAAATGTTATGGCAACGTTAAAGATGCTTTTTCCGCCTCCACGCTGCCACCACTGGGAGGATCTGATCATAACGTTGTTAATCTTCGACCTAAATAACCTAAATATCTTGAAAGGGAGAAACCTCAGGTAAAGACTGTTAAGATTTGCAATGAAGAGAGTATTATGAGTATTATGTGTTGTTTTGAGTGTACTTTGTGGGAAACTTTTGACTGTCTAGATCTGGATACTCATACAATTGTGGTTTCAGATTATATAAATTTTTGTGTGGAGTCCGTTATACCAACAAAAACATATAAAATATTTCCCAACAACAAGCCATGGGTATCAAAGAAATTAAAACAACTATTAAATAAGAAGAAGGTAGCTTATTATAATCATGATATTTTAGCTAAAAGGGATATTCAAAAAGAAATTAAAAGGCAAATTAAGGTAGATAAGGCCATATATAAACAAAAAATTGAAGCTAAAATGTCACAGGGAAACTCTAAACAGGCCTGGGAAGGAATTAGAAAGATGATAAGTGTTACACATAAGAGGAAAGGAAAGGAAAACATAAATATGACCATTAATGATGAAAAAGATGGAGATTTTAAACTAGCAAATACGTTAAATCTTTTTTTCTCCCGTTTTGAGGGAAATGGAGAAGAAAGAAAGAAAAATGAATCAATGATTCTGACATCTGCAAATATATTTCTTATCAAAGAGGTTGATGTCAGAAAAATGTTTCAGAAGTGTAATATACATAAGAGCCCAGATAATATCAGCGGTCAGGTGTTAAAATTGTGTGCTGAGCAATTATCTACAGTTTTTACTTTGCTGTTTCAAAAATCACTTGACCAGCATGCAGTGCCAATTATATGGAAAACTTCAACTATAGTACCTGTTCCTAAAATTAACAAACCATTAGAGCTTAGTGATTATCGACCAATTGCATTAACCTCTGTTGTGTTTAAATGTTGTGAAAGGCTTGTTAAAAGGTACATAGTGGAAAAAACACAGCATTTACTGGATCCTTTTCAATTTGCTTATCAGTCAAATAAGGGAGTAGATGATGCTATTTTAACATTGTTACATATTGTTTATTCACATCTTGAGGGTCCTAAAAATCATGTGAAAATTCTTTTTGCTGATTTTTCTTCTGCTTTTAATAATATTGTGCCATCTGTTCTGGTCAAAAGATTATCTGTAGATTTCTCTCTAGATGGAGGAGTGATTTTGTGGTTGCAGGATTTTTTAAGTAACAGAGTTCAACGAGTGTGTGTGGGTACCTCATTGTCTGACAAACAAATCACGAATATTGGTTCCCCACAAGGTTGTGTCCTCTCACCCTTACTGTTTATTATGTACACAAATCATTGTAGGAGTACTTGCCCAGCGAGATATTTAATCAAATTTGCAGATGATACTGCATTGGTTAGTCTCCTTAGAGGGGATGAGGACAGTCATGGACCCTTTTTAACTGAATTTGTTTCTTGGTGTGATGTATCAAATCTCAAGTTAAATGTTTCAAAAACTAAAGAAATGTGTATTGATTTTAGGAAAGAGTCCTCAACGACTGCGACCATTATTAAAGGGGACCAGATTCAGAGGGTAGAAGAGTATAAATACCTTGGAGTTGTTTTAGATCACAAACTGAGGTGAGATAAATGGACTGATGCTGTGAACAAAAAGGGCCAGCAAAGACTATATTTCCTTAGGAAGATGGTGTCATTTAGTGTAAG